CCAAAGTCTTCTTATGTGAGTGACCTGTTCCTTGGTGGACATGGGATTTTTCTGGTGTGCAACTCTGGGAGATGAAGCTTTCTTACAGCTCTGCTGGAGGACCTGCTTCTGCAGGAGCCTAGAGGACACTGGCAAATCTGTTGGCTTGCTTTCAGGTGACTTTGCAGTCTTGTTACCAGCTTTTGAGATCGGCAGTTAACATGAAGAGCTTCACCTGAACTGCTCAGAGCTGCACGTGTTTGTGTCAAGGTTGCTGACCTCTGCTCTGTTCCTCAACAAGGCACCAAAGTGGAATTGCATTAGCTCTGCAGATGAGGTTTTGCAATTTTTTCCCTCCATCTTAGGTCTTTTGTTATTACCTCTCCAGCCATTTACCACGTTCATATATTTTTGTTTAGCTCTGTCCTTCCTTTTCTTATTCAGGGACTTTTGGTCACCTGAAGAGGCTTCTCCTCTCTCTCTCTTCTCTCTCTCTCTCTGCAAATACTTGAGATAATTGAAAACAATTTGCTGGGATTGTTTCGCAGTTGCTGTAGGCCAAAGACCAGTGCTCAGTTCTGCTCACCTGCTGGCTAGTGTTAAGTACTTACATCATCTTGGGTACTTCAGCTGTTTGTCCATATGGATTTGCTCTGACTTGAAAAGCTGATGGGTAGTAAAGGAAAGGAGAGGCCGGATCCCTGCCGGGAGTGCACATGAAGCCATATGTCGGTATTTCTGGGTGTCTGGTGCCCCCTGGAGACTGCTGCTGCCCTCAACATAACAAATATCAAGCCTGCACATTAATAGATGTCCTCAGTCTGAGCAGGCTGAAGAACAATATGAACTATACTGTTCTCACAACAGGAGTGGAGGATACTAGGAAAGGCAGCAGAGTAAAAGCGAGGACTCCCTAAAAATAACAATTACATGTCTTGCAGTTCTTAAAGCTAAGGAAGACTGACAGCTGTGTTTCATGTTTACGTATGTAAGCATGTATATTTCAAAAAGGAGTACACAAGGTTAAGTGTAGGTATTTGAAGGTAGTATGACGTGAGATTGAAGTGTTGAGTTCACAAGACAGGTTAAATACATGCTGTTAGCTTTGTCTGAGAGGCCGATCAATCCAACAGGAAAACATGGAAGTCTCTTAGCACATCTGGAATTGGAATCACAACTTTATTGCAAGCCTTGTAAGGAAACTGGCATTTTTGTTACTTGTCTTGGTGGTAAAATTGACCTTGGTACCTTTTTAATGCTTAAGTGAGGGGTATACTAAATTGTATCCTGATGGCAGGGAATGTATCTGATGTGGTTGTGGAATCCGCTTTAATTTTTCCAAACTAAACCACCTGAAACAGAGGTAGACTTAAAAATCATAGGAAAGGAGTATTTTTTATTATTTTCATTTGGGGAAAAAGCTGCCAAACGGTAATTTCTTGTAGCTTTTATTACTCTTAAACCAAAACCTTCCTGCAGAACAATATAGGTATTAATTTTTTTACCCTGACTGCAGAGAATAATGCTGGATGGTCCGGTCTGAGGAGGAAGACAGTCTCAATGTTACACTTGTATGCAACTATTTTCAGAGTTACAGTTGAGGCCCACCAAAATGCTGAGCTTCAATATTGTTTGTTTGTAACTGTGGACAGATTTAACCCAGGTACTCTGAGAAAGCATTAGAGTCCACCAGCTCTGAGTCCACATAATTTAAATTGAAGTGAAATTTTTACCTGAGCCATCTGCCTGCTGTGGCTTGTTTGGGCTGAAGAGGGCACCCACCAGGCATCATCCTCTGCTCTGCTTAGGCACCAGACAGTGCCCAGAAGTGGGAGCAGGAACTGAAGTCTGGGCTGCTTACAAGAAATATACTTGACTAACTTGATTATTATGTCCTCTTTCTTTTTGTTGTTTAGAGAGATTTAAACATACAGGAAATAGTTTGACATGAAACAAGTGAGACTTAAGTTTTTCTGCTCAGTTCTTAGTGCTTTTTTTTCCTGGAAAAGTTCTGTAGTTCTCAAATGTAAAATTTTCTTTAAGGCTGGCTTTTTACTTTTAAGAATATGGGGGTTTTATGCCTTGAAAATTTATAGCCAAAGACTGCCTCTGATATTGCTAAGCTATGTGAAGTGACTAAACAAGCTCAGTAAGGAATAATACTGCTGTACATCTTGCCTGTGGGATTTGCGGTCTTTGAGAAACGGGAACATGCATATCGCTTAATCTCTCCTCCTTGCTTTCCTTCCTTTCCAAGAAACCAGTACAGTTGTCTTACTTCAGGCAGCGTTCTGTGATTGCCTTGGCTTACAGTGGCAGTAGGCTAGTGGAGTCCTATGTTTCTCAGCTCCTGTTTTCTGAATATGCTTGCAATACATTGCTGCTGTTGAGCTGGTTGTTCTTAGGCCACTTGTCCCTCTGCGGGGTTTGTGCAGTTGTTAAAGTCCGTTGGATGGTGTGCAGCATTCATTCTCTTGTTTTTACAGCAGGAAGGTGAAATGGAAGGTGAGGCGGTCGAAGCTATTGTGGAGGAATCGGAAACTTTTATTAAGGGGAAAGAGAGAAAAACCTATCAAAGACGCCGAGAAGGTGGGCAGGAGGACGATGCTTGTCATATACCACCAAACCAAGCAGATGGAGGTGAAGTGGTGCAGGATGTCAGCGGCGGTGTGCAGATGGTGATGATGGAACAGCTGGATCCAACTCTTCTTCAAATGAAGACTGAAGTAATGGAAGGCGCGGTGCCTCAAGAAACGGAGGCCACGGTGGATGACACGCAGATCATAACACTTCAGGTTGTTAATATGGAAGAGCAGCCTATAAATCTTGGTGAGCTTCAGCTGGTCCAAGTACCTGTACCAGTGACTGTACCTGTTGCCACTACGTCTGTGGAAGAACTTCAGGGAGCTTATGAAAATGAGGTTTCCAAAGGAGGCCTGCAGGAGGGAGAGCCCATGATCTGTCACACCCTCCCTTTACCAGAAGGCTTCCAAGTAGTGAAAGTGGGGGCAAATGGTGAGGTGGAGACACTGGAACAAGGTGAACTTCAGCCACAGGAAGATCCCAATTGGCAAAAAGATCCAGACTATCAGCCACCAGCCAAAAAAACAAAGAAAAACAAAAAGAGTAAGCTTCGCTACACTGAGGAAGGCAAAGATGTGGATGTCTCTGTGTATGACTTCGAAGAGGAGCAGCAGGAGGGTTTGTTGTCCGAGGTCAATGCAGAAAAGGTGGTGGGCAACATGAAGCCACCTAAACCAACAAAAATTAAAAAGAAAGGTAAGCTCCCCATCTGCATGTGGATTTTGAAAACTTATTTGCTGTGATGGGATCTGGCAATATGATTGCACTGACTGAGTATAGATGCAAGTGGGAGTAAAGCAGACATGCCCAGTGTCACTTGTGCTTTATGTAAGAGTGCTGGGCTCTATTGTTTCTTGGGCAAACCTCCCATCTCCTCCATCTAGACTATAAAGGAGTTTGTTTTCCTTGAGTGTGATGCTGGGGTATTAGCATTCCCATATGATTACAATTGAAAAGATTCTTCTCCTTGCTGTAATACATATGTAAGAGTTTGTGTACACGTGGTTTACGTCAGGAACCAACAGTGTAATTAGTTCTGTGGGTTTTTCCTAGCCAATTGCTGGGTAGGGTAGATGGTGCAAAATACAGCAATAGGTATGTTTGACTTTTCTAAAAACTGTAAATGGAGGAACCCTTTTTAGAGTGGAGAAGGAACATTGAGTGCTGGCATACTAACAAAAACTGAAGCCAAGCCAGCCATAGGCAATGACTGTTCCTAAGGATATGCAGTTGGATTTAATGGTACACGATGGTTCCTTGTAGTAGTTACACCTCCAAGAATCTTTCCTTTTCCCTTCTGATCTCTTACATGATGCAGTAGACCACAGTACTGTCAAGAATAAAGATTATTTCCTTTGTGGCTAGGTGTAAAGAAGACATTCCAGTGCGAACTGTGCAGTTACACTTGTCCGCGTCGTTCCAACTTGGACCGCCACATGAAAAGCCACACTGATGAAAGACCGCATAAGTGCCATCTCTGTGGCAGGGCTTTTCGGACAGTCACGCTGCTGAGGAACCACCTCAACACTCATACAGGTATTCTTGCTTTTGCATATGTTGTTTTTCACAGAATCATAGAATCGTTGAGCTTGGAAAAGCCCTTTAAGCTCCCCAAGCCCAACTGTTCCCCTAAACCTGTCATCCCACCACTAAACCCTGGTCCTAAGCACCTCCTCTGCCCAGCTTTTAAATCCCCCCAGGGATGGGGACTCGACCCCTTCCCTGGGCAGCCCCTTCCAGGGC